CTGTAGTTATGTATGGGTATGTTGAGGAACTCAGTGCCCCTTGGGTGGTCCTAAGAATGAAACACAAGTGTTGTTAGTTGCGATTAGGAGTAGGCAATGGTGGACAGTATGAAAAGGAAGAGGGTTGTGAGCTAACCGTGACATGGCCGGCGTAGTGCTCTGCCTCCAGAACTATGGAGCAAGTGTTCTCATCCCATGAGGCACCGCTAAGGTCTCTCAGTTTGGACACTTGGATCCATTGACCTCTCCACTTTCCTCAGGTGGTTGTACACCCGGGTGGTGGACACCTCCTGCCCACAGAACTCGAACACCTGCTTCACAACGGTGTTCAAGTGCACCTCCTTGAAGCCCTTGTCAGTCCTAACTCCACTAGAGATGAGCTCACACATCTTGTTCAGCACGAAAGTGGACATGAACGACTGCCACTTCATGTTGTTCGACCTACCATCCTTCTTTGCCTTTGCTGTTGCTACCTTGAGTGCAGCGGCAGCAGCAACAAAAATAGGAGTTTGCTCAACGAGCACTACTGGCACATAGACAGAATTAGACGCGAACACCTCTAAGTCAGGTGCCATCTCGGACATAGGCTGCGAGTCCTCGACAATCGATGGAGCAAACTGGCTGTCGGACAGGACAAGGGTCTGACTAAGATCTTGCGTCTGCGTGGTCATGTCCTAAAATCGTAACACACATTGAAGTAAGCATAGCACACAACATACCGGACAATCCATGAAAGCGGGAGCATACATCTACATGGTTCATCACTATCATACCAAGCACATGCTTCATCACTATCATACCAAGCACATGCTTCATCACTATCATACTAAGCACATGGTTCATTGCTATCATATTAAGCATACCTGACAATCTATGACCAGGAATATACATCTGCAACAAACAACATGCTACAAATGGACCACCCATAGCTCAAATCACAGATCTAAGCACGAATCAACACAAGCACAAGGTTCAACTCTACTACTAATCTAGCCTACCACATGCTTGAACATCTAACCCTACCACAACTTACAACCGCATAATAGCAATCAACCATATGAGCTCATAGTTTAGAGCACTAATCAACCGTGCATCTACATCAAACCCTACTGCAACTCATATCTAGCTAGAAGGAACATAGAGAAAGGGGGACTGAACTCACAGAGGCCATGGCTGCAGCTCGAGGACGAGGGGGGAACGGTCGTAGAAGATCACCCTCGGCCGGTGAAGGACTGCCGACGCCGTGGACCGCCGGCCGATGAAGATGCGCCGCTTACCTGCTTGTCGGTGCCGATGCGTGTCGGCAAGAAAGCTTGAAAGGGGGGAGAATGGTGGTGGGAGTTGGGGCGGTGAGGGAGGGGGCTAAATAGGGGCGGACTCAGCGGGAGGTGAGCCGAAATTCTCCCGCTGATTTTACAGCGACGCGGGCGAGCTCGCTCCATCTCCCTGGTCCCATGAGGAGAGAAGCGCGTCGCCCGAGCCAGGCTCGCGAGCTACTGGTGATTCGGGCGTTTCCCCTAGGCCTGGCCTGGAGGTGCTCTAAGGTTCGTGCCATATGGGACGCACAGTAAACGCATGCAACTAAACGGGCTGCTTTCTTCCTGCGTGGGCCTGCTGGGCCATATGCAGGCAACCAAACACGCCCCTAGTGATTACAGACGATGGTATTGCTTAGCTGGTTAGATGATGTACGAATTTTCTTTTTTCTCTTACACTATTAGAATCGTCTTTTATGCTGAGTTTCAAAGAAACTCGGCAGGGCACATATTAAACTCGGCGAAATCTTCACCGAGTGCAAAACTCGATGCAGCGCACTAGGCTGGACGGGGCCCGACAGCTGCCGAGTTCATTCAATCGCGAACTCAACGAATATATAAACAATGTTTGCCGAGTTCCTGCCCGAAAAAACTCGGCGAACCACACCGTCAGACTGGACGTGCAGTTAACGGAAGTGCCACGTGACACAACTGTTTACCGAGTTTTGTTAGACTAAACTCGACGAAGCCTGACAAATAAAAAAGTCCACATGGCACAACGCATTGCCCAGTACAAAATATCTGCCGGGTTCTTTATTCAGCAAAACTGGGCAATTTGTTTGCCGAGTTCCACACTTGGAAAATTTCTAACCAAATAGGGTGCGCCACATGGCACAACGTTATTACCCAGTGCCAAACTTCACCCAGTTCTTAAAAACAGAAGTTGGGCAAACAATTTGCCGAGTTTGAAACTCGGCGAACTTATATTCTGTCAAGTTCTTTTTGTTCGCTGAGTCCTTTTTCATCGGAAATTGGCATAGTCAGAGCTCTCCCGAGTTGCTTATCACTGTCGAGTCCAATTTTGGATCAAACTCGGTAGGGAAAAGTTTGCCGAGTTTCTGATAGAATGAACTCGGCGAAGTGTCGGAACTCGGGCCAAAACCAGATTCTAGTAGCGTTATGTGTGAAACCTTGATTTAGGGTTCAGCGCTACCAACAATAAAGGAGGAGTGAAAAAATCAGTTCTCTCTCTTTCTTGGGAGAGAACATGGCTGTGCACTCGTGTTTTTTTTTGTGAACACTGTGCTGACGCAGACGATCATACATACACACATACACTCATTCCTGTGAACGCACGCAAACACATCCTACACCTATGAGCACCTTTGAGAGGCTAAGCCGGCATATCATCTTGTGATTCACAAAGTCATCACATGCGCATCCGTAATCGACGGGAACATCTCCCCCTACTGAACAAACATCACCGAAAAGTCTGAAATAAATCCAGAAAAATGCGAGCGCCAGTGGTAACTCACCTAAACAGGGTTGTGCACTGGTGTTGATGCAAAGCGGGCCTACTGGTGTGATACGCATCCAATTCGGTATATGTAATTAATTGACCTGTTGCCTCTCATATTGTAGGATTCCTTCGGATGTATTGCACACTATGCCAACGACTCTACTTCACAGTGTGGAGGGAATGGCAGACTTGGACTGGGAAAGGCTGCTTCCGTTGCAGTGTTCAGACGGCTCCTTTTTTTCATCACCCGCAGCCACAGCTCACGCTTTGAAGGAAACAGGCGACCTAAAATGCCTCAAATTCCTTGACGAAGTCATCAAAAAGTTCGAAGGCGGAGGTAACATCAGTACCAACAAGCTGTATAATCCAACGAGATACTGAATTTACACATGCTCAAACGCAGGAGTGTAGGGTGTAGACCTTTTGTGCTAGGGTGAATTTTGATGTTTGAATACCGAAACTAGCTCTTGTTTACTCACCTTTCACACATGTCAGCGTCCTGTGTCCATCCTGTTGATTTGTTCGAGCGTTTATGGGCGGTTGATCGTTTGACGCGTCTGGGGATATCAAGGCACTTCACCAGGGAAATTGAGGAGTGCTTAGATTATACTTACCGGTAAGCATAATGCATGCCTTCCAGAATCTTAACCCGACTCTCTTTACCTAATTTTCTGCATGTTTGATATGTTCTGTTTGGCGCTATACAACATCACCCCATTTAGTTCAACCAAAGTGTGTTCTCAGGGGGCAGTGCTTCCTCCCAGCTGGCGCGTGTTTGAACCTTGGTTCTTACACGGGTTTCACATCTCCTTCTTTATTAAAAATCAGTAGGGGCTTCTTCCCCCTATTGGTCTAGGGTTTTTTAAGTGTTTGGCCACCAAACTCTATTACAGTGTAGGTTGAAACTTGTAACAAGGAATACTTTTCGATAGATTTACACATTTGTTTCAGTCTAAATATCGAAAAAAATGTATTCAGAGGTTTGAAATTTATACTAGATCGAGCATTAGACAAACATAAAATGATAACTAGCATATGTGTAATCATCTGGTGCCATGGGTGACACTAGACCACCACACTATCCACAGTTCGTTTCTCCTTTTCTTAATTTATGAAGAAAATAAGGAGGAAAGGAAAAAATATGGAGAGAAAAGGAGATTATTGCAATGCCAAGCTCGTTTACCATTTCGACCGCTGAAAAATGGTTTTGCATCATAGTACTCGCTGCCGTACACCAGTCTCTACCTACATTCTGTCTTTTATCCGTAGTCGTACCTTTTGTCTGCAAGTAGTACAACACTAGCAGGTGGTTACCCTAGCCTTCAACATCAATCCATCGTATGGACCATGGGCACCAAATCCTGAGTTTTGTTGCTGTATTTCTTAAACTTCTTTTTGCTATAGTAAGTGAAAATATCTTTTCCTCATAGGGAAGTAAAACTATTGCTAAGTTATATACTTTATCAGGTACTGGACTGAAAATGGGCTGAGCCACACAGGGTCCTGTGCAGCTTCGGATATCGACGATACTGCGATGGGTTTCCGTCTCCTCCGTTTGCATGGCTACCATGTCAATCCATGTAATTTAGTATAGTGTTTGCTAAGTTTTTTAAAATGCGCAATCATATTCATGGACTTTTAGCCTCTGGTTTGAACGTGTGAATGTATGTATGGTACATAGGCGTGTTTAAGAAATTCGAGAAGGACGGCGAATCCTTCTGCTTCCCAAGGCAGTCGAGCCAATCTGTCACGGCCATTTACAACACATACCGTGCTGCTCAGGTCGCGTTTCCTGGCAAGAAGGACGACGTCCTTCGGCGGGCCGAGCGGTATTGCCGCACATTTCTCCAGGAGAGGCGCGCCTCCAACAAACTCAGCGACAAGTGGGTCATTCCCAAGGATTTGCCAGGCGAGGTAGTTACACCAAATTATTGTCCTGCATATAGACTATAGAGGATAGAGCAATATGGAGGCAGTGAATTCTTGTCTGCTATATTAACAGGTAGGATACGCATTGGACTTCCCCTGGAAAGCAAGTTTGCCACGGATCGAAACAAGGTTGTATCTAGAGCAATATGGAGGCAGCGACGATGTGTAGATTGGAAAGGTCCTCTATAGGTAACTTTTCATTTCATTTCACATTGAGGAGCACCCCGCTCACGATTTCAGTTCTAGGCAAAACCCATAGAAAAAGCTTTATCCCTAACATCAACAACCTATTCAGAATGCCTCTTGTCAACAATGACCTGTACCTAAAGGCGGCGAAGGCTGATTTCACCAATTTCCAGCAAATGTGCCGACTTGAGTGGCATGACCTGAAAAGGTGAGTATCGACCAAATTCATATAGGAACTACTCCCTCCGTCCCATAATACACTAGTGTAAAAAACGCTCTTATATTATGGGACAGAGGGAGTAGTTCCTATATACAATGTCGTTCAAGTAAGGGTGGTATGACAGGAATAATCTGTATTCTAACTCCAAATTTCTTACATCTATATTCTATAAGCAGGTGGTATGACAGGAATAATCTGCAAATGCGTGGTCTGTCTGAAAGTAGCGCACTGAGAGCTTACTTCTTAGCTGCAGCCAACATCTTTGAACCGAACCGAGCAGCGGAGCGCCTGGCATGGGCTCGCACGGCGATACTTACAGATGTTGTCTCCGCCTACTTTCAACGCAACGGTTGTGCTCCGGACTTGAGAGAACGGCTTAGTACTAGTAACCTCACTCGCGACCGCCACCACAGTCTATCAAGGTTTGATTGAGCATATCTCTATGTTCCTTCATTGTGTAATACTACTTTTGTCTCATTTTTGAAAGAAAGAAAGAGATGATTTTCCTCAATAAAAGAACATAAATAAATAATACTACTAATTAAAACTACTGCCTAGCTACCTTCTATTTTGTTTTATCCAATAGTTGGCTTAGTGATCTACATGACATGCATGAAAGAATAACAACACTCTCCCATTATCTAAAACGACATGTGCGTGTGCATGCAGGGTAGCAATAATGGATTGGACAGAAAATAGCATACTACATGTTCTTCAGGAGCTGATCACGGACCTTGGCAAATTTGACAATACCACCGACACTCTTCGCAAAGCTGTGAAATATCTTACCCACGCTCAAATACATTCATTATATACACCTGATATAGATGATACTCTTTTTTAGCCGAAATATATGATACTATTTACCAAACATATACTGTATGTTCGATGTTACACTTTTGTTCAATGGAAACATAAAATTATAATTTAAGTCCTCTAGCAACTGCAGTGGAAGGATTGGCTTATGGCATGGACTGCAGAGGAGAGAAGTGGACCATGTGAGTGGAGTACAGCATTGTTGTTAGTTCGCACAATCGAGGTCTGCTCAGGAAGACACAGTTCGACCGACCATCAGCTGAACTTTTGGGAGTATACCCAGCTCGAGGGGCTCACCTCTTCAATATGCCGCAAACTTGCATCTAGGGTTCTTGCAAAGGTTTGTATCTATTGTGCATATCAAGAATTCTTATACATGTTTATATACCCATTTGTCCCTATGGGTGCATGATTTCTCAATTAATCCACGACAATAATTTTCAATGACTCAATCAGCATGGACATAGAATGGAAAACATAGAGGATATAGACCGACAAGTGGATTTGGAGATGGGAGAACTCGCTCATCACGCTCTTCAGAGCTGCAACGGTATCAGAAAACTGACTGGGCAGACTTTTCTCCACGTGGTGAAGAGTTTCAACTACGTTGCCCTTTGCTCATATGACACAATTGATTGCCATATCTACAAAGTCTTATTGGAAGATGTCATTTGAATCATCTAGCATGATTTATATCAAGTTTATATCTAGTAGACACGCAAAAGCAAATTTGCCTCTCTAAAGAAAAAATACCTCATCTATGCTGATATGTGATGAATAATTCTTGTATGGTAGTATGGATTATCATGGTTGTATCGATTGTTTACAAATGTATATTGCTCTTTGCTTTATTAGTATAATTATCAGCCATCTGGTTTGGCATGTGTCGATCTAGTGTATTCATAGACATGTTGCCTATATAACGTGATCTCAACCTATGTCATAATATCATGATTGTTTTATTGATCAATTTCACATGTGTGTGCTTATATTTTGTGTGTCACTGCTTTACAAGAGATGCTATTTGTGAACCTAAACCCCGATCCAATAAGAAAAGCTTCCCTCCCGTGGTTTTTAAGGTGATCAGAGAGGTATTTA